AAGAAGTTCCTTTCTTTTCAAGCCACTTAGAGAATAGAAAAGCTCCCTTATAGAGACCATCCCTAAGCTCAGGGGGGCTGGTTTCCAAGTCAGGAGGTCAAAGAATTAGTTATACACTATTTCACACTTTTATATGAATGTAGAGTTACCCATATGATTACAAACCCCGTGAAGAAATACTAGGCAGTGTAGCGAGGGTTACTTTAAGCTGGGCCTGTGTTGAGTCAGCATTTTTTTTCAATAAGTATATATCCCATATAGGAGCGAAATTTTAAACATATTTTGAAATCACTTACTAAAATGGATCATACGAGGACAAAAGTGTCTTAGTGAGAAGGATTTATAATCTAAAAAATAATAATAATAAATAAATTCATAAATAAATAAACATATTTCACAATACATCATATGTGGTACATATGATTTGATTCTGACATAATACATATTATATGTAACTTTAGGGTTTGGTTATAATGCACAAACAGTGGTGAGACTTTATCCTGAAAAATAAAACATGACTCATTTGCTTACAGTAAGCAGTGAACCACATGGCGCAGCACCTACTGTTGTATTCATGTTCACGTTCCCAGAATTTTGGATTTTGGGCTACTTTTCAAAGGGGTCAACTTTTTTGCTTCTGGTGTAACTTGGAAACCAATCTGCATACATTCATGTAACAAAAAAAGTATTTGATAGAGAAATGACTGCAGTTTCTATAGTAATTTGATGATAATATTTGATAGGAGTATTATTTTTATCTTACTGATCTCCTATACCAATCCTGTCAAAGTTTTTATCCAATCCAATATTGTTCATACCTTTTAGAAAATATATGAAAATGTACAGAAAATTCCTCCATGACCAAACCCCCACAAATTTAGATGTGGAATGCCTATATTATTATCAATATTTATCAGTTTGACCTCTCACCCCCTACTCAACCTGCTCTTAGGGATGGTCTCCTAAAAAAAAAATTATTTCATATTACAACACAATTCAGCACAATACAATTACTACCCCTTGCTGCTGATTCTTTGATGCCAGTGGAAACATGTAAGTCACCATGACATGTATAAAAAATATCCACTGTTACAGAGACAACTGGGCATTAATGATAAGTTACATACACACACAAAGAATATACAATTTCTGTGTTTCTTCTTCTTGAGAAATTACCGGCATACTATAATCTTATCTAACCCAATGTTGACCAGAATCCTAGTTCTCCACACAAATCACAGTATAGTCCACACTCTCTACATAATTATCACCATGAATGTATGTGATCAGTCCCTCAGAACAATGCATTGTTCAAAATAACATGTCTTCAGGTACTCACCAAATACCTCAAAACTTAACAGAACTTTCCCATTCTAGACCTTTTAATTTTATCACAGTACAGTCAAAGGCTAACTCTATGTCATGGTATGCTCGAATATTTTTTACATTCTATATTAACTTACAAATATCACCGGATAGATTTCGAATCAGAAAAATAACATGTTCACAAAATGACAACGAGATGTACAGTTTACTTTAACATAACAGACTTAAGGTAACTTTTGTCCATGAATGCTGATGGTTCAAAGAATCAGGAATTTTTTATATGGTATATTTATGAATATTCTCTGAGTCATCCAATTCTTTCTATTACTAGGACTTCTTTCTAGAGTCATATTGCATAATTATCACTGTAATCAGTTTTTCAATTAATGAGGTGAAGAGGCACCTGGTAGGTTGGTGAAATGCCATGACAAGTTGGTGACAATACTTCCTTGACAAATGACAGATTGATGATGATAAACACAAGAAATGCAGCTATGATACCTGAACATGTTACATTCAGCTTAACACCAAAAATTTACCCATATCTCAATGGAAGTAGATGAGTATAGACCATTTTCCAATCATTAGAATACAATTAGATACAATAATAAATATCTTCATAAGGGAGGGTTCTATAACGCACATAAAAACAGGATAGACTGCTTGAATTACTGTACTTTCAGGCCCTTGGATATCCAATGTCTGTAACACCTGGGTCTGCTATGTTAAAGGCAACATGTACTTCAGTTATAAAGATTTCCACATGTCAATTACATTTCATTTTAAAAAATCATCGAGCAGAATTTAAAGCAACCTTACATGGATCCCCTATTCCTGAAATATCTGCCTGAATTCCTGAAGCCCTTCCTCTAAGAACTTGTAATAAGTATAGACTGCTGGATCATAAAATCCTTCAGAAACCATAGTATCATTGAGCTCGGCTTCCAGAAGTTCGTTGGCATTTATGGCCGCAATGACATACCCTGAGGGATGCTGAACCAGCACTTGAACTGGGAAAACATACGCATCAAGTGCAAGACCAGCTGCCCTAGAAATACCAGCCAGGGACTCATCATGACTGTATGTCTGAAAAAAATTGGCAAGGTCTGAGTCAAAAGAATTGAAGATAAATGCAAAGTATTCAAAGCTATGAATTATTTCCATAAAAGCTTAGTTCAAGTGCATACAACTGGAGACACAAATATTACTGTTCATATTCTGTTGCTCTTCATTTCAACCTTTGTTTTGATTTACAGTCCAGCATAAAATAATAAAAATAACTGTATGTGTGAAGGGGGGAGGGGAGCAGACAAAATACCTAATCAAGAAAGGATAAACTCACTTCTAACTCAGTGACTAGTGCCCATGAGGAGACAAAGCTGTCTTGAAGTATGGCTTGCACTACGGGAGAGGCCAGAGGACCCTCCCGCAGTGCCCTGCCCGACCCTCAGCATGACTGGTCCTCCAAAACACCCCACAAGACAAGTGTATGTACCGGGCGGTGTTCCTTTATACCCGTGAAGAAAGCTTTAGTAAAGTTGTGGTATTCAACCTGCAAGTAAAAAATATTATGTTTTTTATTCATTTTCCTTATATTGTATTCATACTTTCGTTGATATTTACATAAGACTTGAGTAATTCAGAAATAACACTAAATTGATATAGTCTTTATATAGGGAGTCACAGTGGTAAATCATATAGCTGGACAGCCAGTTGGAACTCCAAAGCAAAAGGGGTTGAGCCTTGCCTTGGCCCTAGGTTAGAGAAGGTATCCAATCCACTCAGGGCACCAGTTTCTATCTGACTCAGAAAATGTCTTTGGAAAGAAGACACCATACCAGGCTTTATGAGCAAGGGACCTTGTGACGTAAAATTGGTCACAAGTGTCGTTACTATCTCAACCAATTCTCTATGTCAGATGAGTTATATCAGTATAATCTTTATATTCATACCAGCAGAAAATTAAAAAGACAGCTGAAAAATTTGCATGATAAATAAGGGTATATAATCCAAAATCAAATTTTAACGAACATACTTGCTTATATCTATAAAACTCCTTTTGCAGGAGGTCGTGAGCTTTTTCATAAGTAATTTCTTGGGACCACACGAGGCTCTCTGGGTCAGACAAGCCCTCGGCTGAGAGCTGCATTTGTTTAAGATGTGTTATTGTCACTTCCATGTCTTCATCTTCATTGGGTCCTATTAGCCACTCTAGATCTGAAAATTTGTATTTCTGTTTATATTAACTCATCATATCTACTTATTTTCAGATTAATTTACAGCCAAATGTTTTTTGTCTGAAGGAAGAAAACTATTTTGAAAACCTGTAATGTTTTATGTAAACAATGTGCACATTCCCTGCATTAGGGATATCAAGATGAAAATTTAAAGTGGAGGGATCATGCTTTTCCCCCTTATCTTTAATTCTGGACAAGCCAATTATTTTTTTCCTAGAAAAGCACTGAAAAATGAGAAGGTAACCTGACTTCTAAAGTCAGGCTGACTTTAGAAGTATTTCACCTGAAACTTAGAATTGAGGGAGCCAAAAAACTCCATGCACACAAAACAGATCAGCCTCCATTGCTATGGGACAGGTACCACCCTGCATTTGGGCTTACCTTCACTATGGTATTATATATACAATCTAGCATCTTTGGGCTTCAATGTAAAATATGAGGATGTATACTTCAGTAGCTCTCCCTAGTCAATTCATGATCAAGATCTCAAAGAAATTACCACAGTATGAAAGATCTTGGTAATAGCTGCATCAGAAAAAGAATTGCTGTATTCTGCATGATCAGAAAAGACATATAAAGTCCTGAACTATCTGTTCTTGATAATAATAAGAAAGTACAGTCAGAAAAATAAGTATTGTTACCCTTTGCACAAACTAATATGAAAAATCAAAGTGAAGTGGAATAGCAAGGCAAGGTAGCAAGCATCATAATTAACAGAGAGAAGCATTCAGTTCCTCATTAAACACAAGTAAAGGTAACAATCTTTTTTTTTTCTGACTGTCTATATATAAATCACCAATGCCACACTATCCAAAACTTACCCACATTCAGCTGCTGTTGAGTGGGAACATCCATAACAAAATGCTGAACACTGTAATCTGTCACATTGATAACCAGCCTGCCCATAAAAGCAGCTGGAGTGAACCACAGAGGTCTTCTGGGAGGGGTATTTAACTGGTATTCTGCATGCAATCTGGTGGACAATATGCATAAATTACAGTTTAGTTTACTTAATTGTTTTCTAATAAACTCTGACTTAAGTGACCGAAAATGACAAGATAAAGATCAAATATCATACCATTAAACATAAAAGAACTTAAGGAGTTACTTTTACCTACAACCAACATCATCTTACCTGAAAATGATGTCTAGACTATCAAAGGTCTTGGCTCTCAGTACAGCAGCTGCCCCACGAGGTCCATACCTATATTTACAGGAAGACACACAGACAGTCAGTACATTGTAAATCAGGAACTTGCACACTCAGTGATATTTTAGTTCATTGTATAGCTAATTTTACTTTTCAAATATTTTTAAAATAATGTATGGCTTTATATCAAGTAGTTTATCTATGATTTCTTTAAATTATGAAAGTGAAAAATGCAAATTCACCCATTCTTCAAGTCATGAATATAAAAGTTAAAATGACAAATACGATTATCTCTAAAAAATCTAATAAAAAACAGTAATGACATTTAAGAGGTAACAGTAAACATTCCAATGCACAATGAAAATATATATTTTCTTTTAACTCATAGCATAAACAGTGCATGTACAGTAAAACATCCAAAGATCCAAGACTCTTAAAATCTTTTTCAGTTTCAATTTGACTTCAATCCAACTCACAAGATCTCTCCACGTACGCAATCCCGCGTAGAAATGATCACTTTGGTATCTCCTTGGGCAAGTACTTACACACACACAGCTCTTCCCTTCACTCCCAAGGAAAATGACTGTACAATGCAAAATCATGAATGGTTTACTGTCTATGAATGAATCTGACTACCTGGACACCAAGAAGGGTTGTGGGTGAAAGAGAGACAACAGGGAGTAGAGGAGCTCTTCTATGGGTCCTGATGGAGGAGGTGGGACATACTTATAGCTGCAACAGAACCACAGGAGAACTAAAAGAGTCAAGTAGTGTAAAGACTTCTCGTGACGGAGAAGCGTAAGTGATGCATGGATAGAAGAAGAAAAGAAATGAATAATTAATATAAATAATTACTCTTATTTAGTTATAAATCATTAGATGCATAGTACAAAGTTTAATCAAAAAAATAATATTTATCTAGAACCTAACATGCCTTTAAAGACAGGGCCAAAAAAAGGTTTTCATAGGTTTATATTAGCTACATATGGCCCAGAAATTATTTATACTCAAATACAGTTATCTATGAAAAAAATGTTGACCTCTACATAATTAGTAAAAATACAGACATGATTATCATAGAGTGAATACATATATCTATCCATCTACAAGAAATGGTACAAGCTTGGAAGTAAAAAAAAATATATATATATAACCTTGATTGTCCACATGAAAATTAATAATAAATATGCACCTCTTCATAATGGTACCATTTGAGATCATTTCACCAGTCAAACGATTAAACCATGCTTATGGAAAGAGAAAAACTACTATATCTTTACATAATCTTTTATGAACATTTCTAAAAAACAAAAACAAAAAAACAAAAAAACAAAAAAACAAAATTTTTAAATGAAAAATTTATAGAATTAATGCACTATTCTGTCAGCAAAATAACAATAAGAAATAATATCCGTATGATCCTATTTTTAGAAAATATCTTACTAAAAATGCTCCCTGTAGTCACATATAGCATTAAATATTCTGTTTATGTCTAGTTATATATACTAATCTATGAGAACTACTCCCTCTTATCTAAAACTGTTTTAACCTATAAAGTTTATCTTAAAAATAACTTGATAAAAATGATGAAATTTTGGTAACTGAGTCCGGTTATACAGGGCATGGAGCAATACCACATTTAAACTAACAGGAAAATCATTGTGTATTTTCTAAATTAAAACAATCAGGTAATTTTCCTTCTCATTGCAAAATCCCCTTTGCATAAAATGAAAACAAAAGAAAACATCAAATATCTTAAAGCTCCACTTGATATAACTATCTATTTATCTACAAATTAAAGGCATTATGAAAAATAAAAAATAAAATCAAGACTGACATAGACTTCTTTTTCATTATCTTTTAACAGATCCATAAATGAAATCCTAACCTTTAAAACAACTAAAAATAATTTCAATAACACCTTTAAAATAATCCTTTATAGATTCATAAATCAAATCCAAAGAACTTCCAAAACGTTTGAAATGAAGAATGAAAAATCAGATTACAAATTAAAACTATTCCGGGCTGTCCCGATGCCCAGAATGCACGAATAACTACAATGATTTTGAATTAGAATATTCATGCTATTACAACATTTTTAAAGAATACCTTTAAAATGTTCTCATTCCCATTAGAATCACTTCAAAAGAACAAAAATACGTTCATTACTAAGACAATCTTTTCTCGAGCATAAGGCACCATTAACATAACCACACATGCTTTCATAACTGAGGTACAATGCACAGTCATCTGTAATAATATACTAACTGTTCCACATTACCCAAAAGACTGTCCACAAACCTGTACATAAACTCTTGAGACGTATCGGGGATCAGTCTCCACACGCGGCCGGGTTTCGCATCTATTCCCTCGGCAGGTAGGAGCGCAGCAAAGGCATGGGGGTGAATCCATGACCATGCAACCGACGCAGTTTTCCATGTCAGTATGCTGTGCAGGCTTGATCTTGATTCCTAATAGGGGGGGAATGCAAGATTACATCAACAAATAATACAACAACAATAACAAAGGCTAGCTAAGGAGAGTAAGTCAAAATACACACACACACACACACACACACACACACACACACACACACACACACACACACACACACACACACACACACACATAGACACACACATATATATATAATATCCTTACATGATTCTTATAATCTACCAAACTGAGCCAGTGACAAATAATCAACAAACTAAACCAGATTTCTTTTAAAACATTTTTTTATCCAAGACATAAAAGCAGGGTCTCTTACCTCACGATCTATAAAAT